TTTTAAACAGAAATATGATTATTATTTTTTTTTTGCCATGGGAAGAAAATGATTTGCTATCTTTTTTTTAGGTCTAAAAAGTATTTATAGGTCCCGGGTGGATCGGGCCATGATCATAAATTGTCGGATAACACCCATTATTCGGCAAATTTTTGAATAACAGAAATTTGGCTCAACCGGGCAAATGATTGGCTGACACGTGCCGCTTCGCGGCACACATTCATTTGTCCGGTTTAACCAAATTACCGTTATTCAAAAATTTTTGCCCAATAATGTATACTTATTCGAATAATTCATTAGATAATTCTTTATTCGATTATTCGCTGAATACGAGTATTATTCGAAATAACGAATACTAATACAATGCTCTAATTATGTATAAATCATTTTTTAATAATCAACCTGGATTCATCCGGGTATCTGATTTTAATAACGTGATGCCAACATAATGTTTTATCATCACTATGTTTTGGTTTTAAACTAGATTTTATTATATATCGTAGCTAAAACCGATAAAAGAATGTTAAATAAAACTTGCTTCAAACCAAATTTTTTTACTTATTTCAATATGTCAATATTGATAATAATCCAATTGACATTGACGAAATTGGTGATTGTTTAATTTCTTCTTAAATAAATAAAAATTCTAATTCTGGTGATCGTTCCTGAGTAGAACATTATATCGAATTTATGAAATTAAACTAAAATTCAATTACCAAATCTAAGTCAATTTTACTAAATTGTATATTAATAAATCAATGCTAAAGGTTTTGAACCTCCGATCTAGATTGATAACGCGTCTAACTCATATTTCCTACAGGCTAACCCATCTTTCCTACTTTTGATGCATATCATCGGATATAAAAACTTATTATAATAGTGACCCTAACTCGGAGATGATAGATTTAGTTAAAAGTTAGTATTATGTTGTTAATAGTCAAAATTTCTGATTTTGGGATATTTCATAAATTCGCCACAATGAATGTGGGATGCTTATATTGTCGATGAAAAAAACTATTCTATTCTATGCAAATATTGTTCTAAGCATTAGCAAAAAAGAATACTGATTGTAATAATGGCATATTCGGAGTGACGAATCTTATATTATGAATAGAACAAGTTTTTTTTTCAATTTTTAACAACTGCCTATCTCATTTAGTGCATCAGGAGTACGTCGAGTGTACCCTGAGTTTACATAAGGAGAGCATCTGCGAATACAAAGTAAAATTTCCAATTATATAATATAATTGGAAATTTTTACTTTGTATTCGCAGATGCTCTCCTTATGTAAATCAGGTTACACTCGACTTACTCCTGATGCACTAAATGAGATAGGCAGCTATTAAAAATTAAAAAAAACCTGTACTATTATGAATTGAAATACTGTATTTTTCCTGTTTTCACTTCAACGAATTCTGAAACGTTTATGGCTTTTAAAACAAAACTCAATATCGTAGATATATCAGTTCTTACTTTATCTTTTTTATTTTTTAAGAACACGTAATCGTATAGTGAAGTATTTGAATTATAATCTATGTCAAGCAATGGCCATGGAAATATGGACTTCGAAGCATCAAATATTGTGACGAGGTCTTAGGAATTGAGAACGATAATAATTGTCCGAAGCGTTAGCGAGGACTCATATTTCTAGGCAATTTGAATGCACGTCTATGCAATGTCCGGTGCCTGGAGCCAATGAAAATCATTAATTTGGGGTCCCGTGACCGATCTGCAGTCAGTGTACTAACTTATACAACGTATGTGCGCACGAATAATTACAAAAAAAAAATTCTATAAATTTTTAGCTAACAGCAATACGAAAATCACATAGTCACACCTTTTAACAAAAGTGCAATACTATTGCTTCGGACCCTCATCAGATTCTGATTTCCTAGTTAGCTTTAAAAAGACTATACAATAAATCTTAAATACTTAGCTCATCGTTTTATCACATGTATATTTTGATAGATTTCATGGTTTAGCCTAAGTTTCAAAAATATAAACAGTATTAACCTATTAAATGGAAAGTTTATATTTTTATCGAGTTTTGTCATGAATATCCAGATATCCGGGTGAGGTTTTTACTTACGGGTCTTATCCCTACCGCGAACCAAAATATTCTATTGACCAACACTGGTTATAACCTACGTGTATTTTTATTACTAATCTTATATAAAAAATATTTTTTTTAAGCAAAATTATGATTATAGCAATTTTTGAAATTTTCTAAGATTCGTATTATATAAACATTACAACTAATGCTATAATATATCAAATCAAATTTTTTTTATTACTGACACCAAATGGATTTACATGCGCATATATATAAAAAGTCATCATTAGGGAACGCATTTTGTTTGCTTATCCAAGTCATAATATAATATGCAGATAAAATACACTCATTATTTTGTTAATCTAAGATTCGATTCAGTTATTATATGACTCTAAATATACTAATCTGATGAAGGTCCGAAGTGAAAAATCTATATAGTATAAGTTTTTGTACATCACTGCAGTGTAACACGTAGACTGAATTCTATTGGTCCGAGCCACCTAACATTGTTATGGTCCTCGCTACGCTTCGGAAAATGATAATTTACCTAAATAACCCTATTAATCTAACAATATTCGGATGGAGATTTTTCAACGAATCTTTCATATTTGGGCATTTTATAATGTTGTTGCTAATCCTATTATTTCTTTTATTATTTGATCATCAGGTTCTTTTATTCTTAAAATATGTAATATAAAAGCGGCAATTTGGCATTTAATAATTTTGTCTCTATCTTCTTGCCCGTATACATCTAATCGAAGGTATGATAAGCTTGTGACCAATAGAAACTGCAGAAAAGCGGCAAGCAAAAGTAAATTGGTAAATGTGGCTGTTTGCATTTTATAGCAAAATATTGGATTTTTATCAATATTTATAATAATTCATTCTGTGATACATTACTGCATAACTAAATTCATAGTCCCTGAGTAATAATCAGTCAATTCAAAAAGTATGAACAATGACTTCATAAATTTAAAAGTAATAGAAACTGATTAGTAAAAAAATAGAAGTTCGATCCCCATTGATTGGGTTTGTTAAGTTTACACCACGTCCTTAAAAATTCTGTTTTATTAGACGAACTAGATTACGTTAAAACTTTCGATCAGACATCATGAAATTAAACAATCAGATATGGTACGTATAATGAAATATATAATTATAGTTAGTGTTAAAGTTGGGCAAAGACTAAGTTATACTAAAATTTTGCAATGGATTTTTTTGTTAGGACACGATGCTCTATAAGGAAACTTGGATGTCTTACTATCTTTATGCGCAGTAACTATGTAGTAACTATATAGTTATTATTAAATTTAATGGTAACTCTATGGTTACTACATAATTACTATGTAATTGCCATGCATTAAGGTATCTGGATTTCTGTATTGCCATTACACTAGATCTGTTAATTTGATTAATAGGCGAATAATGGTGTAACCTACTTGGTCCAATCAATTTATATCGATATAGTCTACTCAGAACTTGGGGAAAAAAATTAGAGTTTCCCCATTGATTACAGTAGGAATTTTTAATTATTCAGAATTATTCAGGTTTCTCAGTTCCTGCGCGGATGTGAAAATCCTAGTTAGTATATTTTGAAACGTACTGTGTTGGATAAAATACTGACCTTACGTCAGAGTGAAGTAACCAATTTAATGTACTGATTTGTGGCATAACAGACTGAGCCCATGATATTCTTAGATAATAAGAGATCGGTAAATTTGTCACGCCTTCTTTCGGCTAAGTCATCCAAACGAAAGTGTACATATATGGAACTAAGAGGTATTCATGATTTATATGATTTATTAGATGGTAATATATTTACATGATAGTTATAAAATCAATACTGTGCATTTCTGAATCAGGATTTTTAATGATATCCGGTTAACCCGGATTGATTACATAAAAAAAATACAAAATATGCAGTTTGCATATCCATACATATTTGTATGTTAAACTCGGATCTACGCGATTTTTCCTAATATGGGATCGCATATAGCAAAATCCTATTTAAAAATAAGAATAAATGTATTTGTAACAACATGTTACAGTAATTAGCCAATAGTAGTTAGAGGTAGGTTTGGGCTACACGAAATTTTATTGGCTGTACTAAGTAAGTTGTTACAAATAAGCGTGTAACATGTTGTTACAATTAAAATAAATATAAAAATAAAAATATCGTGATAGTATGTACAAAACATGAGAATAGCCTTTATTATATAATTTGACAGTAAAATAAAATATTTTTCATGTATATAATACTACATATGTATAATATACACATTCAAATGTATTTTTTATCAAATCTTCATGCAGAATTTTAAAATACTTTGTATGTGTATAAACAAAGAGACAAGATGCAGTATAAGTGGACAAGTATCCAAATATTATCATGATTATTAATAATCAACGGATCTTGCTTCTTATACTGCCCCACCAATACAGTGTAAAATTCTAAAGAGTATACCATAATTATCGCTATTATAATAATTAACATTGTAGTAGATTAAAGCTTATAGTACGCAAATACATAGATACGTACGTACGTACAACATCAATTTCTTACAAATTTTATCAATCAATACATGACGCATTTAGGGATATAACTAATAAAACCAATAAGTACTTGCGATTGCGCCAAACATGTTTATAAATTTACAAATTGTTAAACAAAAATATGTTAAAAATATGTTACATAATGAGTAGAGGTGCTGGCGAAATTAAAGAATTAAATTAATTTCACTATTATTGGTGAAGTGAAATTAATTTATTTATTTAATTTTACCCATATATCTAATTATGTGACAAAGAAAAAAAAGAAAAATTTAGAAAAAAGAAAAATAAAGGAAAAAAGAAGTATAAACAAGAAAAAAAAAAAAAGTTCGCATAAAAAGCGAGATTCTAAATATATATATATATATATATAAGGAAATTAAAGAGAAAACAATATCTATTTCACGTGACTATATTGTGGGTAGTTTGAAATTGTTTCGGACTCAACGACATCCTGATTGAAAAATTGGATTTGTAGACCGTTATCTTCATCGGCCATGAAAGGAAGAAAATTATTATATACATAGCAATCAGAAATGTAATTTTGGTTATTTTGGATATTTGAAAGGTCTGGATTCCAAATAATTGGCCAATAAAAATCTTGTGCCCCTTCTAAACTCTCTGGAAAGAGATCAAATGTGCCCAATTCATTTAATACTGGTTGTGATTCGAATGATGATGATGTGGAAAATGATGGTGGCAATGATGTTGGCAATGGTGATGAAAATGTTGTTGGCAATGGTGATGTTTGCAATGGTGTTGGCAATGGCGATGTTTGCAATGGTGTTGACAATGGTGTTGACAATGATGTTGACAATGAGGATGGTAACGATGTTGAAAATTCTGGAGATAATAACCCTGGTGAAGAGAATGATTCAAAGAAAGGTAATTCTCCTAAAGGAGGGGTCAGAAACATTGATAAATCTAAAGAATTTGCGGGACTTGAACTAAGTGATGACGCCTCAGACTCAGACGATAGCAAAGAATTCGATAAACGCGAATCTTTATCTGAAGAAAGGTTGCTGGTTCCAAGATAATTAGTTGTACTAAACGCCGAAGTGTTTTTATTTACAAAATCTTCAATTTTAGGCTTGGGTGAGTATTGTTTAAAACTGTTGTTCCGTTTTTTCGGAGAAAACTTGTAATTTGGGTATAATTCTTGATGACAACATTGGCTTTGGAGTGACAAGCTCTATTACATTAAAATAAGAAATTAATAAAATGACATAAGATTATGAAATATTTATAAATTATAGATTTAAAGAAATTACTTCATAATTCTTTTTTGCATATTCTGGGAGCTCCGCCCATATCTTTTTGGAATGGCGGCAAATTTCTGGCATAGTGAACCGATATCCAAGTTTCCTCAATTCCAGCATATAACAGTTCTTCATAAGAAAAAAACCGTTAGGTGGTCTCTTGATGTGTGTACCATCAAATTTTCGTTTTTTTGTTGAAATAAGCTCAGTTATATGGTATTGTGGGTTATAAATGTTCTGGAGATTTAATTCTTTGGGTATATCCCTCATCGGTCGAGCATTCCGAGTCGAAGATGACTTGTTCTTGTTATTAACCTTGGTAGAAATGTCTTGAAAAGATTTGTTCATTTTGCCTTTGTAAATACTCGCTTTTTTAATACTTAAAGGTCAAGAGATTAATACTGCAATAAAGAATATAGAACAAAATTAAGTGCTAATTTTCAGACAGAATGAGTTCAACGTATGTTTATATAAAGATTTTTTACTTAAATTATAATAAATTGTATAACGTACTTGTATGCGCGTGGGCATCAGTTTCAGTCACACGTGCATCTATTCACTTCACATAGGCGATTAAAGGAAAAAGAATTCTGTAATATTGTTTTTAGCAAGTAAGCCATATAGATCTAATAGAAGCCAGAGCTTATCAACAAACATGAAAGATCAATTCCTTATTCTAAAAATAGAACTAATTACTCCATCGAGAGGATCCAGACGTAAACTTTATTCTTCTTCTTATGTCTAAAAATAGATCTTGAATCATTAAATCAATTGATCTTTATGCCAAACACGATTTGATATATTTAAGTGACAGGATGGTCACGTGACATTGGAATTGAATTAAAGATATACAGGAAAATCACATGTGACCACCAAAAATGACCAAAATGTACAACGCAAATGATTTGAAGATCATCCATTATTTAATAACCATATGGAGTTTATATTCCATTATACTTTTTTAGTAGTAAAATAGAAAATTATATGTTCTACAACGAAATCCATCCAAGACGGAAATAGGTCATGATATGCGTCCGACTAAACAAATGTAAACGCTTGCAACAAAGAAACATTTAAGGCTACTCGATAAATGAGGTTCGAGAATAATAAATCTCGACTTAACGTGATTTTGTTTATTACATAATTACTAGTCAATGATAAGAAGAATATTCTCAAAGAATTCTATTTATTTATAGATTGTGTGTTTTCTAAAGCCATTTCTCTATTTGTCAACTTTAAAGAAATTAACCCTTTATAAGTATTTAATTTCGAAAATCTGGCTATCTTGTTGCGCGTTACAATAATAATAAAAATTATGTTTTCCAAATTTTAATGATAATCTCTGAATGATGCCTATTGTGCTTAATTTCTCATTGTTAAAATTGATTTTTTTGGTTCTAATTAATTTTCTATGGAGAAGTGGAATTTTTCTTTTCGGAATTTCATTTGCTTGTTTATTTACTTATAATCGAGAATGATACTAGATTTTTTAACTATTGCATTAGCAAGATGCTCGCGTGTTATTATTACGAAAAGTTGCCAAAAAAGGATCATTTCTTTGTTGGACTAAAAATATATTGCAGTATCTAAACTTAAAATCGATAAATTCAAGAGGCGATTCAAATATGATTTACAAACATTTTCTTTTAAGAAATCAAAAATCGAAATCTTTAATAGAAAAAAAAATTTTCAAGATAATCTTAAATTCTCATTGCATTATACCACTTATATGATCAATTTCTTAAACGTGAATCCTGTAGGAAATTCCATAAAAAGAAAAAATTTGTTTGTGATCATATTTTAATAAGTGAATAAGTGATCAACACTTTTATTAAGTATACAATAATAATAAATTTACGCCTTTAGGAAAAGTGCTATCAGAAAATTTCTGGTCATGTCACTAACATTCAAATGTTCTCTATTAAGTAACTCATTATTCTATAAACGCAAGATAATATAATTCTAAAGACTAAAATCCTTTGTTATAAGTTAATTATATGATTTCTGTATCCAGAAAACTTATTTGTATCAAAAATAATTGTGATCATAATAATTAAGCTTATGTATATATTTAATATGTGGGTGGTTTATTTAAAATTATCGTTCATTGCTCATCCTGCATCATATTTACGTTAAAAACGCCTAATAACACTAATAATATAATTGGCTAATTTCTTGTGCCACAAAGTTTTTGCCAAAGCTTAGAGAACATTAAATATATTGTGCGAACAAAAAAGGTAATTAAGAAAATACCGGCAATATATATATATATATCTTGTACCACCAAAATATCATTTTAGATAATACAATGGTTGCATGCGGTTTTAATTTGGACCTAATATAATGCATGAACTCTTTCGGGCAAATTCGAAATTGTCAAAAAGCGTTAAACCAAAAAAGTTTCCCATAAAATTATCCGTATTGACATCATGTGATAATGGTAATTATATCGATATTTGATAGAAAGTTCACTTGTTTCAAATTTTTCACGCAACTTATGCAGAAATGCGCAGATCTGCACAAGCCTAAAAGTGGAGTTAAAATGGAAAGGGGATAAAGAAAACACAAATAATCGAATAAATTAGATTCAAACATACATTTGATAAGTGATTATGCATAAGATTTCTGCGCATAATTACTCCCTATATTAAATCACACAATAAAAATCATTTTACAAGACTGTAGTGATAAAAAAAAGTTTATTATGCTAAAATTGACTGACGCTAAACTTTCGGGTCCCATCTACTCTATATCAATTGATTATTAATCAATTTTTATTAATGGTGTATTTTATACTATATTTGATCATTGGGTCCCTATTTAAATCCATAATATAGTGATTGACACTTCTGATTGGTTCTACTAATTATTCACATATCGGAGTATCTGTGTTATTAACCAATTTTATAGTTCTCCGATAGTGAAGCATTGAAACAATCTTCGGGTATTATTAAATTATTCGGGTTACTCGGGTTACCCGATTATCTGATTCGATAATAGCGATTGGCTAAGTTTTGATTACTAATCAAATCTCCTCAAGTTGTACCAACCCTCATGTCGGTCTCTAATAACAATTTCAATCTGGATAACTATCATATCTATAATTCACATATAGTTAATAATACTAACTCTAAATCCTAACACTAAAAAAAAGTCCCCAAATTTGTAGATTTCATAATAAAATACCGTATTCTTCCGAAATTAGCATCCCTTTTTTTAACGTAATGCTGGCCATAATTATTTTAAAGCAGGCCAAAGTTGGCATAATGTGGACAAGAGATGCTTATTTTCGGAGGAATAATGTGCGCCAAAATTTCAGCATCAAATATAACAATGGCCAACGCAAAGCTGGACTAACATGATTGTCTGGAGTGAAAAGGAGAACTTGCTGGGAATTACAAAGTTTATTTATGCTTGATACTATTTTTATATCTGCTTCTATTTTTAACTAACCACCATGAAAGCTGAGTTTTAACTCCGGTCATCTAATACATGTTTCTGTTTGTATATTCTGACGTGAAAAAGGATTATTCGTAGTACAATTGATTAGACTCCGGACGAGAATTACTGAAACTTGGATTGAATGAATGAAATTGAAACAAAAATAGGGGGTTCTTTCAATCTTTTTTTATAGCTGAATAGTTCAGTAAGATTCCATGAAGTTCAATGAAAATCAAGAGATAACGTATGCAAATAATCTTGTAAAAAATTATTTGAGCTTACTTGTCTAGTTGAATATTAGTAGTTGCGCGATGTCGTCTGCAAAGACCTGTATAACGGAGAAACTATTAGTACATTTTCGGTGAATGGTCAAAACGAAACTCTGTGACAATATTCAACCCTAACAAGGCTCTCAAAATGAAAAATGAAGCGCGTGAGTTAGGATTCTTTCTAAATTAATCTTGCTGCGGTAATCATGAGATCCAAAACTTTATTGTAATATAGTACTCTAATTTCCTATATTGCATCTGTCTCGAGACTGAGTTTCCGTTATAGTCTCAACTAGATCATGGGTAATTTAGTTAATCTCTATTAATAAATTATCAGTGATGATTTCTATACGTAAGGGGTCGAATTAGAAATTAATAACTTTTATTCATTCTTCAATCGAAACAAGGTTAAGAATTCGACGTTTTATCTTAAGAAATATTACTTGATCAGAACAATTTTATTTCGTTTCTTTTAAAGCATCGAATTCAATGAAATTATTTTATTAAAAGGATATGTATTTAATTATTAGCAAATAAAAAGAGTATATGTTCTATCAAGCTTTATACTAAACGTGTATTATATATCAGCTCTACCAGATCAATCATATTTGGTGTCAAATTAACCCGAAATACTCCGGCGACGATCCTTAACTCATCCCTACAGGGAAAAAGATATTACGCCACTTTAATTTTACTGTCTAAATTGATGCGTCCATCCATGAACAGTAAGTTTTTTTTTTGTTTTTTGCGGACTTGGTTCGACAATATTCGGGTCGTTTAAATCCTGAACCGGGTTTGGGTCAAAATCCTGACAAGCAAAATCCCGATAGGTCATAATCAGTGCTAAAAATTCAGCACGAATATGCTGTGTAAAAAAATTTTTTTAAACAGGAATGCTATTTTATTTTTTGTGCATATTGCACAGTAATCGTTGATTTTTGTGCAGAAAACAATACATGCATGACGAATTTTTAACACTGGCCGACAAAAAAATCCCGATAGAAAAATCCCGACAGGTAAAAATCCGACAATTAAAAATCCCGACAATTAAAATTCTGATAAATATCATATATCATAGCTAACCCAAGCCTAACCCTTATCTAAAATGCAATAACTAACCCAATCCTAACCCTTATCTAAAATGCCATAGCTAACCCAAGCCTAACTCTTATCTAAAGTGACCTAATCCTAAAGTTAATTAAACTATAAGAGTCTACTTCGCTTTAAACATACCCCATTTTTGGGGATTTTTTAATTGTCGGGATTTTTGACTGTCGGGGTTTTGACTGGCATCCTCCTGAAACCACCTGTAAGTAGTATGGAATACAGTTAATTCTGTTTTGTTTTGATTTTTTTTTTTCACATCGGTTTTTGATTCTTACATGAACTTATGATTGTAGTATTATTAGAGTTTGGAACCGGATTTTCGGTTTTTCGATTCGGAATTTATTTAATTACAGCTGTTTTCATTATTTTTGGAACATCTGGTAAAAAAATTGACCGAATGATTGTTTGGCCGATTCGATAAGCCATTGATTTCGGTATGATCAGTATAATGTTTATTATTGTCTAAAGCCAGGTACGTACGTACGTTTTACTCCCATGATTAAGACCCGGGGTACAACCATATTGATTTAC